CTCTGGAGACATCATGATCCCTGAACTCAAGCTCTACTATAGATCTACAGTAATAAAAACAGCTTGGTACTGACATAAAAACCAACATGTGGACCAATGGAATCGAATTGAAGACCCTGACATTAATCTGCACACCTATGAACATGTGATTTTTGACAAAGAAGCCAAAACTGTACCATGGAAAAAAGAAAGCATCTTCAACAAATGGTGCTGGTATAACTGAATGTCAACATGCCAAGATTGCAAATAGATCCATATCTTTCACCATGCACAAAACTCAAGTCCAAGTGGAATAAAGTCCTCAATATAAACCCAGTTACACTGAGTTTGATAGAAGAGAAAGTGGGAAGTAGTCTGGAACAAATTTGCACTAAAGACCAATCCCTAAACATAACACCAGTAGCACAGACACTGAGAGCAACAATTAATAAGTGGGACCTCCTGAAACTGAGAAGCTTTTGTAGAGCAAAGAACATGGTCAATAAGACCAAACGACAACCTACAGAATGGGAAAAGATCTTCACCAACCCCACATCTGACAGAGGGCTGATCTACAAAATATATAAACAACTCAAAAACTTAGACATCAAAATACTGAACAATCCAATTAAAAAATGGGCTACAGAGCTTAACAATTCTCAACAGAAGAATCTCAAATGGCTGAAAGGCATTTAAAGAATTGCTCAACATCCTTAGTCATCAGAGAAATGCAAATCAAAACAACTCTTAGATACCATCTTACACCTGTCAGATGGCTAAGATCATAAACACTGAAGACAGCTTATGTTGGAGGGGATATGGAGCAAGGGGAACACTTCTCCACTGTTGGTGAGAATGAAAACTTGTATAGCCACTCTAGAAATCAGTATGACGGTTTCTCAGAAAATTGGGAATAAGTCTTCCTCAAGACCCAGTTATACCACTCTTGGGCATATACCCAAGGAATGCTCAACCTTACCACAAGGACACATACTCAACTATGTTCATAGCAGCATTATTTGTAATAGCAAGAACCTTGAAACAACCTAGATGTCCTTCAACTGAAGAATGGATAAGGAAAATGTGGCACATATACACAATGGAGTACTTCTCAGCAGTAAAAAACAATGATATCATGAAATTTGCAGGCAAATGGATGTAACTAGAAAATATCATCCTGAGTGAGGTAACCCAGACTCAGAAGGACAAATATAGTGTGTACTCACTCATAAGTGGATACTAAATGTGAGGGAAGGGATGGCCAGACTATCACCCACAACTGCAGAGAGGCAGGGTGCTGGGGAGGCTCTCAGGAATCCACAAGGTTGACCCCACCTTGGTCTGCTGGCAGTGGTCCAGAGGGTGCCTATATCTCTCATGTCTAGAACTCAGTCATTGGCCTCAGTAGGTCAATAGCTAAGAAAATTACAGGTCTTGGTAAATATCAGCACTGAGCTTTTGTGTGAAGTCTTGGTTTCATGGATAGACACAGAAGTTAATCCCCAGTCTGTGTCTACTGGCACAAACTCCTGTGATTTCAGGATATTTCAGCTCCAACTCTTTCCTTGAATCTCTGATTTCTCTTTTGTATGATAGACTGCACTGAGAATAATTTCTCCCACTTAGCAGTAATTTCCAAGATGGACAGACTGTTTTTAAAGTCAAGTAGATTTTTCTTTCTGCCAATAACTTATGCCTTCCTGTTCCCTCCATTTGCTTTCATGATTTCCATGGCCCAAAGGAACACCCAGAGCTTTGAACCATGTTTGCATTCTTTTATCCCACATCCTCCCAGCTGCTGTCTTTTTTTCAGTTGATGAATGACTTCTGCTCTGATTCATGTGAAGTCTTTAGAGTCAGGTGATGAATGTGCCTGGGAGCCTCTCCTGAATCAAGATGAAGCTAATGGTTCGATGATGCTATTTTACTTATTCTCCACAATGTCAGTGGTAGACATCAGAATGTCCCTTGGCTGAAGATTTGGGGAATCAGAAAATGAACCCAGGATAGGTGTCATGAGCTCTTTCCTGGCTCTGATGGCCCAGCTCTGAGGGAGAGTGGACATCAGCACATATGATGACCACAGCAAACAGAGAAAGACACTTAATTGATGAATGGGGAACTTCTTTGGGAATCTCCCTGTGGAGGAGGAAGACTTAATGGTCTGAAATAGTGTCTCAGTTAGCATTAACTGTCACCTTGACATAGCCCAAAGTCACCTGTGAAAAATGTGTCTCAACAGAGTAACTATCTTTATCAGGATGGGCTGTGGTCATGTCTTGAGCCATTGTCTTAACTGACATAGGAGGACTCAGGACACTGTGGGAGTATCATCCTTAGGCAGTTGGTCCTTGCTTGTATAAGAAAGCTAGTTTAGCATGAGCCACAATATGAACCATTGCTACACTATGACCCAGGCATGGAAGGCAAACACATCCTTTGTTCTCCTGTGTCCAGGGTGGTTTTTTTTTTTTTTTTGGTTTTTTTTTTTCGAGACAGGGTATCTCTGTGTAGCTTTGTGCCTTTCCTGGAACTCACTTGGTAGCCCAGGTTGGCCTTGAACTCACAGAGATCCGCGTGCCTCTGCCTCCCGAGTGCTGAGATTAAAGGCATGCACCACCACCGCCCGGCCAGCGTGTTTTTATTATAGCAAGGGAAAGAATCCTAGAACAGTTCATAGGGAAGAGAGTATGACACATGCATTTGAACCAATGTTCTCTATACTCAAATACAGAGATCCCTTTGGGAAAAGAGAAGGGAAAAATTTAGACAGCAGAGATGAACTAGAAACTGCATGTTGATCCCATACATGTACTGAAGGTATCAGGCAGTTCACATTTGGGTTGTTGACCATCCTTGCTGTAGCCCTAGACATGAGACTGCAGTCCTCTTAATGATCTCTGGGGAGTGATATCAAGACATATGGTCAACATTCAGAAAATGGCTTCCCTGAGCCATGAACCCACATTCCAGACTAGTTTTCATCCCTGTCTCCACTATTTCAGAGTTCCTGTCCTGAACCCTGCTTTGACCTACTGGATGCTTTCTATGCTTGAGAACACCTTTCTACATGGGGAACCTGAAAGCACCCTTCCTCCTAGCATATCCCATAGAAGTCAGGATTATTGCAGGAGGATTACATAGACAAAGGGAAAAGGTGACCCAGCAAGATCAGAGAGGACATGGGCTCACACAGTTCAGCTGACTCAACATACTGGAGGGTTGCCTTGAAATCTTTCATAGGAAGAGGGAGCTCACAGTTCTTTTAAGGTCATACATCTCACCTCTTCCCCAACACTGAGTACATGAAACTGCACACACAACTGATTCAGGTTTCTCCTGCATCAGAATTTTGACTGGTTACACCAATGATAAAGGACTGATCTACTTCCCTGGTCATCACTCAGAAGGTCCTTGCAGTCCTCAGAGGCATCCCTGTACCCTTACTGCTGGGAGTAAATCCCACCTTTTCACAGCACTGAGAATCACTGGGTGATTACATGGATCTCTGTGTCACATGGACACATAGGTAGAAATGAGCCACCTTCCTTGCAGCTGACAGACCCAAGGCCATCACAGCAGATGTCCCTTATTCTCTGAGGGTGTGAGGATGTTTATCAGCCTTGTAGCTTGATGTGTTACTTGGAGGTGAAATATAAGGAGAGAAAAAGTGAGAGGGATTTGAGACAGCACTGAGAGTGGAAGGGACAGAGCAGTGCCTTGGACACAGACCCCACCACCCACAGTCCATTTAATTCTGTGATGTGCCTGGGAAGACACACACCTTAGAGGAAAAAAGGACAGCCAAACTTGGAGCCTGAAGTAAAGGTGAAGCTCATCTCCAAGGGAGGAAAGCACAGTTAGAAGAGAGATGGAGGTGTCATCTCTGATTCCATGCAAGGGCTGCACCCCCTGGCAGGGGCTTCTTCTCACAGGTAAGTGTGTCTATTCTCTGAGTGTGGAGGGAAGGGACCTCAGAAGCAGGATGGAGTGTTCTAAAGAGGAAAGGAGCCCAAGAGGATACTTGGGGTTTCTGTTTGCAGTCACAAGGCAGAAGGCACAGGGAGGGTCAGAGGCACAGCAGCCTGAAGCTCTCAGCAGACAGGAGGTGATGAGGGAAAGTGAAAAGCCCCAAACACTAAATATTTGAAGTCAGTCATATTGGCTGCTGTGTTCTGAAGACTGATATTCCCTGACAGGTTCACTCTCCAGACAAAAATCAAAAAGGGGTGGACCAGTGAGATTGCTCAGTGTCCAGGTATACAACCTGAATTCATTCCTCAGTCCCCACACAAATAAAACAGACTCCTGAAAGATCAACCCAGCCCTCCATAGAGGACCTGACATACAGACCTGCAGATGTACACATTGGGACACATGCTTCCCATGAGCACCATTTCATAGACGGACACATGCACACACTGAGACAGGTCCTTCACAAATACATACATCAAACACATAAGTAAATGTAAAAAAAATTAAATCACACTTGACTATAATTATTGTCATTATTGCCAAACCTAGAGACTATGTAGAAAAATCCATGGACACAGTCCTCCTTCCTTCTTTCTTCCATTTTCTTTTCTTTCTCCACTGGTGTCTGTGTCTTTTACAGGAATTGAACCTTCCAAAGACTCCAGGTTATCACAAACAACTGATTATAGTGGAACAGAGATCAGATTGTCTAGAGCATGAAGTCTCAAGGTGGCTAGAACTAGGAAGGGAACTGAGAAAAATGTCAGAAAGTGAGGGCTCTCTAGAGGTGGAGGTCAGAGAGCATTGCTCCTTGCACCAAATGCTGTTTATGTGAAGAGGGATGTGGGGACACTGTGTGGGGATCCAGGTAGACACTTGGAGCAAGGAATCCCCATATAGAGAAATGACATAGTTAGAAACTTTGAGGAAATGGTAGTCATGTTGCTCACCTCCATCAAGGAGGGTGGGCACACCCTACCACACACCTAATCTGAGTGATGAACGTACCTGCTCAGTGTTGGTTGTCTTTCTCTTTTCTGGTCTAGCCTCCCTTTTCACCTGCTGGCACCTGTCCACCACTGCCCAAGTCACCATTGAATCAGTGCCGCCCCAAGTGGTTGAAGGAGAAAACGTCCTTCTACGTGCCAACAATCTGCCAGAGAATCTTCTAGCTTTCTCCTGGTACAAGGAGGTGAGGAATGTGAACCTCAGAATTGCACTATTTGCACTGAACACTAATCAGAGTGTGATGGGGCCTGAACACAGTGACAGAGAAATGGTGTACAGCAATGGATCCCTGTGGCTGAAAAATGTCACCAAGAAGGACACAGGATTGTATACCCTACGAACAGTGAATAGAGCTGGTAAAATTGTATCTACAACAACCATGTACTTCCATGTGTACAGTAAGTGATTCTGTATGAAATCTGGGTGCGGGTTGGGGTTCATTACACTGGAGATGCACAGAAATATCAAACCTAGCCTGTGTCTACCTCCACTCTACATGTGTCCCCATGTTTGAGTTTGGGCATTTAGTTCAGGACACACAAAATGGAGAACAACTGCCGTAGGTCAGAATCCTTCATTTGACTGGACCTTGTAGATGTCTGGATGCATGGTAGGTAAATCACCCTAGGCTATTTCGACTATCTATATTCTTGGGGTTCTCATAAGAGATATGTCCCTGAGAATGTCCCCAAGTGACAGAGAGTGAGCCTGTTCAATGGATTGAATGGGAATGGGATTGTGATGCGATGGTGAGTCCCAGGAAGCCCTGGTTGAGGACCTCTGTCCCAGACTCAACACCAGGTAGCCCTGAGAAACATTTTACTAGAGTTACATTTTTACTTCCTGATGTCAGGGAACATTTTTTTAACAGTTGAAGTCTTGTGATATGTGGAACTAGCTAGTGTACTGTTAGGAGAGCTTGAGTTTGGCTAGATCCTGAGACATCTTGTCCAGAAACTAAGCAGGGAGAGCACAGGTGCCCAGACCATTAAATAGATGTCCTGAAATGGTTATGAGACTTCCAGGAAGGTCATGGTTGCCAAAGAGAGGGACAAAAAACATAGGTTCTCCTGATAATTGCTTTCCATCTGGGGGCCAACTAAGGGAATTCTGCCCTGAAGGCAAAGGGCTAGAGGTTCTGCTGATCTGCATAGCTCCAAAGATGTGAGCTGCAGTTCCCCAGTGACAAACAGGAGGGGGGGGTTGAGGCCACACAATCATTACTTAGAAAAGTATTTGTCTGAATCAGGACTTTACCTTGTAGCCTGGTGTCTACTTCTGTCACTTCAGACCTGGAAGTCATGGATACAGTCTTCTCAGATCTATTGGCTCCTTTCTGTATCTGCTACATTGATAGACCATCATATTCAGCTACTCCTTTATGTAGTTTCTTTGGGAAAGGTAGGGTACCCAAGCAGAATGACTGAAGTCCAAGGCATCTTAGAAAGCTAAAGGAGCTAAAGGACAGACCCATCACGTAGCTCAGTAAGCAGAGGAAGTGGGAGCATTGCCTTGCAACTCTACACAGGACAGTAGAATCCACATCCTCCTTCTGTGACTCGGGTCTCCTATTCCCACACACCCAGTCAGGGAGACTCCTGACACGTCTGTTCCTGGGCCTTTGTCCTGAGTCAGTACCCTGACTAGTGACTGCAAAGAGAATAGTTTTGTCCCTTTCCTCATGCACCACATAGCTGGTCCCTTTGGAGCCCACACAGACATCACTGTCCACTTTTTGATGAAAGCAAATTCCATCTTTCCAGAACATTGAGATCACAGGGGAGACTGTGAGTATATATTGGTTTCTGTACTACATGTACCACACATTTAGTACAGAGACTCCCTCTTTATTGCTGACAGACCAAGGCCAGGATATAGCAGAGGGCAACCCTAGATTAAGCTGCTGCTCTTTCAAGGCCCAGGGATGTTCATCATCCTTGTCCACATGTGTTCTGCACAACTGAAACACAAAGACAGAAGGGGAGAGAGAGACGCCAGGCAGCACTGAGAGTGGAGGGGGCAGAGAAATATTTTGAACACAGACCCACCCACTGCCCATGGGAGTCTGTGGATTGCTCTGCCTGCTCAGCTCAGAGTGGGGAAGGAAAACAGAACTTGCAAGCAGTGCTGGAGTAGATGTGCCACAGGAAGAAGACATACAGTGCCACAGAGACCAGGAATACACTCTCTGTACCCCTCTCCAAAGGGTACGCTACCTGTCACGGGCTCCTGCTCACAGGTGAGACTGTAAGTTGATAGTGTGTGAGAAGAGAGGACTGACTTACCATTTGGAGTCTCCTAAACGGGACAAGGAGCTGAGAAGAGTCTCAGGGTTTGTAGGGGAGAAGACAGTGCCAGAGCAGCAGGGAGATCTCAATAAAGAAGAAATGGTAAGGGATAAGGGACTGTTCTTACCCAAAGTTATTCACCATGACCAAAATATTCTGAAGACTGGTGTTCTCAGTTATGACTTCACAAACAAAAAAGTCAAGCTGGTAGTGATCAGTGACATGTCCATGATATCAGTGGATATAGGTTTTTGGTTCATTGTCTGATCAACTGAGAAACAAGGACACATGATGTCCTCTGACCTCCACCCAAGTACTGTGTCCTGCACCCATCTCCCATGCACAAGGAGACAGGCTTTTGCAAACAAACTCTCACACAAATATAATTTATAATAAATGCAAAGACAAAGCCAATGAAAAAATTTTACACTGTATCCCGAAACTTATGTTTTTCTTAAATAAATCCATGTGCATACAGGGTTCTGAGATATCGTTCATTGATTAAGTCTCTACAGGTATCTGAGATTTTTCTAGGCAGCATTTTCTTTTAAAAATATAAGACAAATCATGGTTCTTACAATGCCACAAATGTTCTTACAATGTTCGAGTGGACTTGAAGTACAAGAAGCTGGAGGGTGAAGTAAGGTATTGGCTGGAACCACAAGAGGAACAGAACAACAACAACAAAAGGTCAGAGTGAGAACATGCAGGGTGTGTAGGAGAAGAGGAGGGGCAGGCATCACCTCAACACCAATCTACCATATATGTGAGCAGGGGTCTGAGGGCAGTGAGCCAGGCCATGTTGACACCTGAGGAGAGAGTGACATATAGTGGAAATGACTACTTTGGGGACACTGAGAACATGGAGGTCATGTGCTGACCGCCACCAAGTAGGAAGTAGTGAGCTGGGGCCCTGTTGACACCTAAAGAGAGATTGCCATACAGTGGAAAAGACAAGAGTGGGGACACTGGGAATGTGGAGGTCATGTGCTGAGATCCACCGACTAGGAAAGTGAAACACTTACACACACACACCTAGGCTGAGCAATGGACACAGCTGTAAAAGACAGAGGGATTCAACTTAGCAAAATATGAAGTTCAAATTATTAATGCATCTCTCTTCTCTTCTAGCCTCCCTTTTCACCTGTGGGCACCCTCCCCACTCTGCCCAGCCCACTATTGAATCAGTTCCACCCAGAGTTGCTGAAGGGGGAAGTGTTCTTCTACTTGTTCACAATCTCCCAGAGAATCTTCAAGCTCTTTACTGGTACAAAGGGGTGATTGCTTACAAGAATTTTGAGGTTGCTCGACACCTAAGAGCCATGGATTCAAGTTTGCAGGGGCCTGCACACAGTGGTAGAGAAGCATTGTTCAGGAATGGATCCCTGCTACTCCACAATGTCACCTTGAAGGACGCTGGATTCTACACCCTACGAACTCTGACTACAGATCTAAAAGCTGAAGTAGCCCATGTGCAACTCCAGGTGAACAGTAAGTGATTCTCTGGTATTGTTCAGTGCTGGGTGAGGCTTAAACACACAGGACTGTCAAGCCTGGCTTGTGCATGACTCCTCTCTGTACTGTGTCGCCATGCTGGGGTTTGAGCACTTAGGACACTTCTGGTGGAGACAAATGGCCATAGATCATTGCCTGTAGACTGACTTCCCCCACTCCCAATATCGAGGAAGACATTGATGAAAAGTAATTCAGCATAAAATGTCTGACTCTGTCCAGTATTTATGGGTTCTATCCATGAGTGTGAGGAAACCATAGCATCTCACAGAGTTGTTCACCAGAAAGCCCTGGCCCCTGTCATGTGTCCCAGGCCTGACAACATATGACCCTGGAGATCATTTGTCCAGGACTCGATTCTTACTTCTTCTCAGAGCTTAATAGCGAACAATGGTTTTTAGTTGCCCCTGCCAAACTTGGGTATGTATATCTCCAATTTGAGAGCATTATAAATAAAATCCAGGAACTGGTCCAAAGACCATAGAGGAGTGCTGCTTACTGACTTTATCCTTATGGCTTGGTCAGCTGGCTCTCTTTCATCACCCAAGACTGACAGCCTAGGGGTGTAACTGCCTGCAGTAAGCTGAATACTTTCACACTAATCTACAATTTAAAAATATGGTGTGTGTGTGTGTGTGTAGTATGTACTACAGTCTTGCCCATAGGTCAATTTGATAGTGGCACTTTAAATTGGCTCTCCTGCCTTCCAAGGGACTCTAACTTGTGTCAAGTTGACATAAAACAAGTCAACCTCATATCCAAGAATTTTCTATAACCTGAGCTTGCCAAGAACATAAGATTGCTCCTGTCCTCACCCAGCCCTAGTCCTCTGGACTGCAGGACAAATCACCAAGGAGATCAATAAGTGAGGTCAGGAGTTGACTGGAGCCATAAAGCAAACTGAAAAAAAAGGCAAAAGCTGAAAATCTATGGTTGGTAGATTTCAAGGGAGACATCATCTCAAATCACAGTGTTCATGGGTGTGTACAGTGTCTGACTGAGGGCAATGAAAGAAGAGTCATTTAAAGAATCACTGAGAGAGCTCCCTTCAGAGGAAATGACACATTCAGAAGCACAGGGATTGGAGGTCATGTTGCTGACCTCCACCTTGAAGGATAGACACACCCACATCTGCACCTCTAGGCTGAGTCATGAATCCTTCTGTTCAGAACAGAGGTTACTATCTTTCCACCAACCCAATGTTCTTCAATTGATGGCTCTTTTCTCTTCCAGCCTCCGTTTCTACATGCTCTAACACTCCAACCTCCACCCAAGTCACAATCGAATCAGTGCCTCAGTATGTTGCTGAAGGAAAAAGCGTTCTTTTCCTAGTTCATAATCTGCCAGAAGATCTTCAAGAATTTTTCTGGTACAAATCAGTGTATAGGACAGACATCTTTAAAATTGCAGAATACAACAGAGCCACAAATTCCACCATCTGGGGGCTTGCACACAGCCAAAGAGAAATGGTGTACAGCAATGGATCTCTGCTGATCGAGGGCATCACTGAGAAAGATGCAGGATTATACATGCTAGAAACTTTGAACAAAGATTACAAAATTGAGAAAGCATTTGTGCAACTCCATGTGAACAGTAAGTGACCTTTTATGGCTTCCAATTGCTGGGTGTGGCTTATCCTACTTCATACTTTACCCTGTCAGAACTGGGTTGTGCCTGCTGTTTCTCTCACAGCACTGTGTCCCCACACTGAAGATTAGGCACTGACTGCAAGACACACATAGGGTAGATAACAATTGATCAGAATCCCTCGCTGGGCTCCATCTGCAGAGAAGAGAATATATTATGGATAACTCAATACAAGCATGTCAGACACAGCCCAGACTCTTGGGACTCTCACCATACAAGGCCTCAAGAGATACTCTGTGGTTTCCATACAGGCATTGGCTGAGGAAGCCATGGCATCCTTACAGAGAGTACCAGGAAGTCCTAGCTCCAAAACTCTGCCTGTGGCTCTTCTCCAGGTGACACTGGGGATATTTTGTCAATGTTTGGCTTTAATTTCCAGTTATTGCTGATAGGGATCAAGTCTTTACTGACTCTCCAAGTACTGTAGAGTGTGTAACCGGTTGTGCCCTAACTTGGGAGCTAGGTAGGTCACCTGGGCATCCTCTTCTTCTGAGTCCAAATGGATAGGTTCCCAGACCATTAGCCAATTATTCTGATAGGTTTAAGAGACTTCACAGGAAGATCAATGTCCCAAAGGATTAAAACAGAGACAACAGTTACTCAGTACACCTCCTTGTTCTCAGGGGTCAAGCTTAGGAAATTCTCTTCTTCAGGTAAGTAGTAGCAGAATCTGTTGAGGTGAGCATCTCCCCCATTGCAACCTCATAACTAAGGTTAACTCACAGGTGAAGCAGTGATCATTTGCAATGTGTCCTATTATAGGGAAACTGAGACATAGCAAACTCAGTATCTGAATTAGAGTCATGCAACCTATGGCTGGCAGATCAAAGCACAACACACACACACACACACACACACACACACACACACACACACAGACTTTCGATCTGCATTGTGTCCTCATGTTGGGGTTTGAGTATTTACTGCAGGACACACAAAGTGGAGAACAACTGTACTTGACCAGAATCATTCATTTGACCATACCTTGCAGGCAGCTGGATGCATGGTGGATAACCTAATCCAGGATATCATTCACTGTCTATACTCTTGGATTACTCATAAGGAATTTGTCCCTGAGAAAGTCCCCAAGGGACAGAGAGTGGGCCTGGTTAATGGATTGAATGGGAATGGGATTCTGATAGAATGGTGAGCCCCAGGAAGCTGTGGTTGAGGACCTAGTCCCAGACTCAACACCAGGCAGCCCTGAGAAGCATTTTAGTAGAGTTACATTTTTACTTCCTGCTGTCAGGGAACATTTTAACACTTGAAATCTTATGATATGTGGAACCAGCTAGTGTACTGTTATGAGAGCGACAAGTAGGCTAGATCCCCAGACATTTTGTTCAGAGACTAAGCAGGGAGAGTAAAGGTGCCCAAGCTTTTAAATAAATGTTCTGATTAATCATAAGACTTCCAGAAAGGTTATGGTTGCCAAAGAAGGGCACAGAAAACACAGGATCTCCTGACAAGTATTTGCCCTCTGGGGTTCAACTCAGGAAATTCTCTCCTGGAGGCAAATGGTTAGAGGTTCTGCTGATCTGCACAGCTACAAAGATGTGAGCTGCAGTTACCCAGTGACAAACAGGGGGACCTATCAGGCCACACAATCAGTACACAGAAAATCATTTGTCTGAATCAGGACTTTACCATGTAGCCTGCTTTCCACTTCTGTCACTTCAGACCTGGAAGTCATGGATAGTCTTCTCAGATCTACTGTCTCCTTCCTGTATCTGCTACATTGATAGACCATCATATTCAGCTCCTCCTTTATGTCGTTTCTTTGGGAAAGGTAGGATACCCAAGCAAAATGACCTAGACTGAAGTCCAAGGTATCTTAGAATGGCAAAAGAACTAAAGGACAGACCCATCACATAGCTCAGTAAGCAGAGGAAGTGGGAGCATTGCCTTGCAACTCTACACAGGACAGTAGAATCCACATCCTCCTTCTGTGACCCGGGTCTCCTATTCCCAGTCACCCAGGCAGGGAGACTCCTGACACATCTGCTTTTGGGCCTTTGTCCTGAGTCAGTACCCTGACTAGTGACTGCAGAGAGAAAAGTTTTGTCCCTTTTCTCATGCACAATATGACTGGTCCCTTTGGAGCCCTCACAGACATTTCTGACCACTTTCTGGTGAAAGCAATTCCATCTTTCCAGAACATTGAGATCACAGGGGAGACTGAATATAGCTGGGTTTCTGTCCCACATAGGTAGTATAGAGACTCCCTCTTGGGTGCTGACAGACCAACGCCAGGATACAGCAGAGGGCAACACTAGATTAAGATGCTGCTCTTTCAAGGCCCAGGGATGTTCATCATCCTTGTCCACATGTGATCTACACAACTGAAACATAAAGACAGAAGGGGAGAAAGACACCAGGCAACACTGTCAGTGGAGGGGGCAGAGAAATATTTTGAACACAGACCCACCCACAGCCCATGGGAGTCTGTGGATTGCTCTGCCTGCTCAGCTCAGAGTGGGGAAGGAAAACAGAATTTGCAAGCTGTGCTGGAGTAGATGTGCCACAGGAAGAAGACATACAGTGCCACAGAGACCAGGAATACACTCTCTGTACCCCTCTCCAAAGAGTACGCTACCTGTCACGGGCTCCTGCTCACAGGTGAAACTGCAAGTTGAGAGTGTGTGAGAAGAGAGGTCTGACTTACCATTTGGAGTCTCCTAAACAGGACAAGGAGCTGAGAGGAGTTTCAGGGTTTGTAGGGGAGAAGACACAGGCCAGAGAGTTGCTCAGCAGCAGGAAGCTCTCAATGAACAAGAAACCATAAGGGGTGGTGGTGATTGTTCTTAACCAAAGTTATACACCATGACCACAATATTCTGAAGACTGATGTTCTCAGTTATGACTTCACAAACAAAAAATCAAGCTGGTAGTGATCAGTGACACGGCCCTGATATCAGTGGATATGGGCATTTGGTTCATTGTCTGATGAACTGAGAAGCAAGGAACACAAAATGTCCTCTGACCTCCACCTAAGTACTGTGTCCTGCACCCATGCCCCATGCACACTGAGACAAGCTTTTGCACACAAACTCTCACACAAATATAATTTGTAAATAAACGCCCAAAAAAGCCAGTGAAAAAATTTTACACTGTACCCCCAAACCTATGTTTTTCTTAAATAATCCATGGGCATACAGGGTTCTGAGACATCATTCATTGATTGAGTCTCTATAGGTATCTGAGATTTTTCTAGGCAGCATTTTCTTTTAAAAATATAAGACAAATCATGGTTCTTACAATGCCCCAGTTAGAGTGGACTTGAAGTACAAGAAGCTGGAGGGTGAAGTAAGGTGTTGGCTGGAACCACAAGAGGAACAGAACAATAGCAAAACATCAGAGAGAGAAGATTCAGGTTGTGTAGGGGAAGAGGAGGGGCAGGCATCACCCCAACACCAATCTACCATAAATGTGAGCAGGGGTCTGAGGGCAGTGAGCCAGGCCATGTTGACACCTGAGGAGAGAGTGCCATACAGTGAAAAAGACAACTTTGGGGACACTGAGATGTAGAGGTCATGTGCTGACCCCCAACAAGAAGGAAAGTGAGACAAAACCCCACACACTTCGGCTGAGCAATGGACACAGCTGTAAAAGACAGAGGGACTCATCTTAGCAAAATACAAAGTTCAAATTATTAATGCATCTCTCTTCTCTTCTAGCCTCCCTTTTCACCTATGGGCAACCTCCCCACTCTGCCAAGCCCACTATTGAATCAGTGCCACCCAGTGTTGCTGAAGGGGGAAGTGTTCTTCTACTTGTTCACAATCTCCCAGAGAATCTTCAAGCTCTTTACTGGTACAAAGGGGTGATTGCACACAAGAAGTTTGAGGTTGCCCGACACCTAAGACAAATAGATTCAAGTTTGCAGGGGCCTGCACACAGTGGTAGAGAAGCATTGTTCAGGAATGGATCCCTGCTACTCCACAATGTCACCTTGAAGGACGCTGGATTCTACACCCTACGAACTCTGACTACAGATCTAAAAGCTGAAGTAGCCCATGTGCAACTCCAGGTGAACAGTAAGTGATTCTGTGTGATTGTTCAGTGCTGGGTGAGGCTTAAACACACAGGACTCTCATGCCTGGCTTGTGTGTGACTCTTCTCTGCACTGTGTCTCCATGCTGGGGTTTGAGTACTGGGGTTTGAGTACAGGACACATCTGGTGGAGACAAATGGCCATAGATCATTGCCTGTAGTCTGACTTCCCCCACTCCCAATATCGAGGAAGTCATTGATGGAAGGTAATTCAGCATAAAATGTCTGACTCTGTCCAGTATCTATGGGTTCTATCCATGTGTGTGAGGAAACCATAGCATCTCACAGAGATGAGCACCAGAAAGCCCTGGCCCCTGTCATGTTTCCCCGGCTTGACTACATATGACCCCGGAGATCATTTGTCTAGGACTTATTCTTACTTCTTCTCAGAGCTTAATAGGGAACAATGGTTTTTAGTTGCCCCTGCAAAACTTGTGTATGTATGATGCTCTCAAAACTGAGAGCATCATAAATAAAATCCAGGAACTGGTCCAGAGACCATAGAGGAGTGCTGCTTACCGACTTTATCCTATGGCTTGGTCAGCTGACTCCCTTTTATCACCCAAGACTGACAGCCTAGGGGTGTAACTGCCTGCAGTAAGCTGAATACTTTCACACTAATCTACAATTTAATAATATGGTGTGTGGGGGGTGGGTATAGTATGTACTACAGTCTTGCCCACAGGTCAATTTGATAGTGGCACTTTAAATTGACTCTCCTGCTTTCCAAGGGACTCTAACTTGTGTCAAGTTGACATAAAACAAGTCAGCCTCGTATCCAAGACTTTTCTATGACTTGAGCTTGCCAAGAACATAAGACTGCTCCTGTCCTCACCCAGCCCTAGTCCTGTGGACTGCAGGACAAATCACCAAGGAGATCAATAAGTGAGGTCAGGAGTAGACGGGAGTGATAAAGCAAACTGAAAAAAGCCAGAAATTAAACTTCTATGGTTGGTAGATTTCAAGGGAGACATCAACTCAAATCACAGTGTTCATGAGTGTGTACAGTGTCAGACTGAGGACAATGAAAAAGAGTCATTTAACAACCACTGAGAGAGCTCCTTGCAGAGGAAATGACACATGCAGAAGCACTCAGGGATTGGAGGTCATGTTGCTACCTCCACCTTGAAGGATAGACACACCCACATCTGCATCTCTAGGCTGAGGCATGAATTCTTCTGTTCAGAACAGTGGTTACCATCCTTCCCCCAACCTAATGTTCTTCAATTGATGGCTTTTTTCTCTTCCAGCCTCCGTTTCTACATGCTCTAACTATCCAACCTCCACCCGAGTCACAATCGAATCAGTGCCTCAGTATGTTGCTGAAGGGAAAAGTGTTCTTCTCCTAGTTCATAATCTGCCAGAAGATCTTCAAGAATTTTACTGGTACAAATCAGTGCATAGGACAGACATTTTTGAAATTGCAGAATATAGCAAAGCCACAAATTCCACCCTCTGGGGGCTTGCACACAGCCAAAGAGAAATAGTGTACACCAATGGATCCCTGCTGATCGAGGGCATCACTGAGAAAGATGCAGGATTATACATGCTAGAAACTTTGAACAAAGATTACAAAATTGAAAAAGCATATGTGCAACTCCATGTGAACAGTAAGTGAGCTTTTATGGCTTCCAACTGCTGGGTGTGGATCCTACTTCATACATTACACTCTCAGAACTGGGTTGTGCCTGCTGTTTCCCTTACAGCACTGTGTACCCACACTGGGTTTTATGCCTGATTGCAAGACACACATACAGTAGACAACAATTGATTAGAAACCCTCACTGGTCTTCCTCTGCAGAGAAGAGAATATTTGATGGATAACAATACAAGCATGTCAGACACAGGCCAGACTCTTGGGACTCTCACCATACAAGGCCTCAAGAGAGATTTTGTAGTTTCCAGGCAGGTATTGGTTGAGGAAGCCATGGGATCCTTACAGAGAGTACCAGGAAGTCCTAGCTCCAAAACTCTGCCCGTGACTCTTCTCCAGGCAACACGGGATATTTTGTCAATGTTTTGCTTTAATTTCCTGTTGTTGCTGATAGGGATCAAATCTTTACTGACTGTCCAAGTTCCATAGAGTGTGTAACTGGCTGTGCACTGTCTTGGGAGCTGCAGTTAGGTAGGTCACCTGGGCATCCTCTCCTTCTGAGTCCAAATGGATAGGTTCCCAGACCATTAGCCAATTATTCTGATAGGTTTAAGAGACTTCACAGGAAGATCAATGTCCCGAAGGGTAAATACAGAGATGATATTTACTCAGTATTCCTTCTTATTATCAGGGGTCAAGTCTAGGAAATTCTCTTTTGCAGGTAAATAGTAACTGATGCTGTTGATTTGAGTATCTCCCTGATACCAAGATCAGGCCACTGCTCATAACTAAGCTTAACTCACAAGTGAAGCAGTTATCATTTGCAAGGTGTCTTGTTATAGGTAATTTGAGATGCAGCAAACTCAGTATCTGAATCATAGTCATATAGCCTGTGGGTGGCAGATCAATGCAATATATATTCTCAGGTCCAAATTCTCTCCTCTGTAGGCTTTATTAATTATGAAGTATAGAGGAGCTGGTTGAGCTCACTGAAGAATATTGTCATTTATTCTCCTCTCTTCACAGAGCCTGTGACACAGCCCTTCATTCGAATCATTGACACCACAGTCACAGTACAAAGCTTTGTGGTCCTCACTTGCTTCTCAGCTGACCCTGGAATCTCCATCCATTGGATCTTCAATAACCAGAGTCTGCTGCTCTCAAACAGGATGACCCTGTCCCCCCAAAATTGCCAGCTCAGCATTTATCCTGTCAGGATGGAGGATGCTGGAGAGTATAAATGTGAGGTCTCCAACCCAGTCAGTTCAAAGACTAGTCTCCCAGTCATCCTGGTCGTGAAGAATGAGTAACCTCTCCTTTCAATCTATATAGCACAGTATGGGCAGTTTTTATCAATGGCGTATAACAAGGAGAAAAGATATGTGGTAAAAAATTGTCAATTACCACTCAGGTAAGATGACTCAAGCTTATAATCCTGGGATAAATGTGCACATGGACTGGCCAGAACATAAAAGGATACTCAGTTTCTAAAGCTGAAAAGCAAACAAAAATATAGTAAACAGAACTACAAAGGAGTTAAGAGCTTAGGTTGTCCATCAAATATATAGCCAGTTCTTAGAGTCTATGGAAACTAATTTTAGATCCCCAAACTTCTGGATACTCTTGGTCCCTGTTAAAATCGTGCAGTGTTTACATAGAGATAAACATCCTCTCATAAGCTCAAGTAGTTTCACGTAATACCAATGCTTCCTCGATACCAATCATCCATGTGAAGTGAGGAGTGGTGACAGGATAAGTGACTGCACAAGTTTATCTGTGGACATGACTGATTTCTAAATAGCTTTGATGCTCAGTTTGTTTCATACACAGATGTAAAATCCATGGTGTAAGGATCAAGTGGACTGCTTCTACCCTGACACTGGCACTCACAGTGCAAACTTGTTCATGATTATTTTCCTTGCTTATATATATTTTAAAACATAGATGGGATTTTCTACTTTAACTTTTCTGAGGTGCACTGATGAGTAGCATTAAGCACATTCATTTTATCATGTTAACATCACCATTGTCCATTTACAAGGCATTTCTAAACCTATATCCCTTCTACTTCTGTCTCTAGGCATAAGAAAAATCAGAACATCTAATTGTTTGTGGTAAATATTAGTTTATAGAAATACATAACAGATGGGTATGGTTGCTCACCAGTTCCAGAACCTTCTGTAGAATCTTTTTATTATTTTCTCCAAATAAGTTCATGTCATCTGCAGATATATGTGACAGTTGATTGATGGGTTACCTTTCAGTTCTTTGTTTTGCCTAATTGTTTTTTCTAAGACTCCTAGGGTAACACTAAAGAGAAGTGGCCACAGCAACATCCTTGTGTCAATCCTGGTCATAGAGGGAAAGCTCTCAGTGTCCCCACTGAGTACAGTTTACTGTGGGTTTCCATGTGTTCCTCTACTACACTTGGGTGCCCAGTACACCTTGTTCAGCTGTTTTCATCATTAAAAACTGTTCACTTTTGTCAAATGTCTTTATTGACTTAGTTTTATGAGTTACATGTTGAATCAGTTTTGTGTTTCTTCATGCTTCCATCTCTGTAGGTCCTGGGCTTATAGGAATATTTCTGTTTCATCTAGGTCACTCAACATTTAGCACAACTATTGAGTACTCATGGAACTCTTAGTATATTTTAGTATGAACTGTAAGGGCTCAAACTTCACTTCTAGCGTTAATGGTAATATATTTAAAGCAAAGCTAATCTAAATAAAGGTTATTGATACTTTTAATCATTTTGAAAAACCAACTTCAGATTCAATGACTTCCCCTACTGTTATTCATTTGTATCATTATTCTAACTTGTGGATGTTAGACCATACAGAATCAATGCTTTCCTAATTACTCCCCAAGGTTTGTTCAGTTACCTTTTCTTTGTACAGCTCAGGGCCACCTCCCTAGGAATGGCACCACCCACAGTGTGCTGGGACTTCAAACATCAATCAGTGACCAAGGAAGTGCTCCATAGACACACCCAGAGGCCAAACTGACAGAGGCAATTTCTTGAGGTTTCATGGGAGTCTCTGGCTTCTTTCAGGTGGCAGAAACAAGCCACCAACCTGTCAAACATATCCAGTCCATCAGAAGTTTTTGCCCTTAATTTCTATAGGTCACATCTTCAGTATCCACCTGAATCTCAAAATAGTTCTTTAGATGGTATAAGCATATAAAAGAAGGTATGTTAACACCCAACAAGAAAAAGGTGGCTCTGTTGCAAATCCTGACTTGATTCTTAACATTCTGAGATCATTCCTAGATTCATGCTTCATTCTTGGGGAACCGGTGACTCTGGAACCATCTATATGAACACCTAGGTTGGCCGTGTCATCCTGTGTTAGCTCCTGTATATCCAGCCAGACCTTGGTTGAAGCCAAGAATGGCATGAAGGAAAATCTCCTGCTTGGAGAACCTCAGGGTTACCATCTGTGGTGGAGAAAAATGACACCTCAGACTCAGGCTCTGTTAACACATATGAATGTAACTAGGGGTTCTCACAAGATATGATGTGCTGGTTTTGAAATCTGGGATGTTGTGCTTGGCATACACGTATCTTGCTAATTCACTACATACCTAGATTCAATTGGGTGGTATTTAATTGAGGTTTACATGGCTCTCAGAGCTATTATGGCCTTCCAAAGATGGGGAGCTTATGATTCCTCTCATACTGTCACATTACTATTTGTTCAGTTTACTACTCCAGAAACCACCCCTTCCAATCTTCATGTCAACAAGCATTCATTCTTTTGTGTTACTGCAACAAAACACCATGAACAAGGTAACTTACAGAGAAAATTATTTATTTGGGTTTATGGTCTATCATGGCAGTGAAGCATGGTAGCAAGCCATAGATATTGTGGCAGGAGCAGGAAGCTGAGAGCTCATATCTTGAACTGTAAGCACGAAGCAGAGAGATTGAATTGGAAATAGTGCAGGGCTGCTAGACACAAAGCTTGTCCCAGTGATGATCTGACTGCAGAGGATATGACTCACAAGCCTCACCAAACAGTGCCACCAACTTGGGACCAGGAGTTCATACTCCTGAAAATGAGGAGGACATTTCTCATGGAAACCACCAACAAGGACAAACTTCTAACTCTTCCTCTGCTGCCTCTAACTGACCTGCCCAATATTCTTGCTTTATCAATGGGGAGCCTCAACCAGACACCCCAAAATTTTTATCCCCAAAATCATTTCTAGTTATCAGACCCAATTAATAGCTCTGCCAAGGGTCTCATTGGGTCCACAGCGAGGAAAATCACAGTCCTTTCTAATCAGAACCCTGAACTGCAATACCACCCTTTGGGGTGAAGTGTTTTGGTTTTCTAAAAAGATACAGAAGTTAGTTCCTAGACTGGGTCCCCAGGACCATCAAGTCCTAATCATTACAATTTGAAGTTGAACTCCAGCTCTCTCCGTTCCTGCTTCCCTGATTGCTTCTGTCCCACTCTCCACCATGGAATGTGAGTATATTATCTCCCAGTCCTGGGCAGTCTCAGGTAAGGGAAGAACTTCACAGTGGAGCATATGTTCTTAAAAAATAAAGTTGATTTATTTTTGTCAGAAAACTCATGCATTGCTGCCCCTCCATTAATTTTACAACAGCTGTTATGCAGAATGGACACCAGGGTTTTGACTTTTGCTCACACACTTTTATTTCTCATATTAGAAGAAAAAGCTCCCTACTAATGGGAACCAGCAGCTCAGAGATCTGCTCCCAGCTCTGCTCCTATCTCATGTGGTGACTGGTTCTACTCTCTGGGTGGGGAAGATGCCAGGGATGTCTCTTCTGTGTCAGGATAAGGCAGATCATCAATGATTTGATGATGCTACTTAGTTGATTATTTTTAAAGGTGAAAGTATATCACTGATGGACATCAGAAAATCCCTGTTTCGGCAGCAGGAAAATGGGAAAGTGAACCCCAGGTTAGGATGCCTCTGAGCTGAGTCTTGGCTCTAAAGGTCCAGCTGTGTGAGTCTGTGGATATGAGCACATGTGATGTCACAGACAGCAATGGGTGCCACTCCATTGGTGAACAGGGAACTTCCTGTCCTAGTTAGCATTCTCTGTCAGACTCACACAGGCCTTTGTCACCAATGTGGGGGCCACTTCTTAAGTGAATCATTAGGTTGATCAGGGCAGTCTGCATAATTATCTGTGAGGGATTGTCTTGATTGTCTTAATATGTTTAACAGGGCCGAAGTTACTCTGTGTGGTGCCATCCCTATGCAGATGGTCTGTGGAAGATAGCTGAGCTTGATCCAGACAGAGAGAGAACCTGGCAGACAGTGTGTGTGTGTGTGTGTGTGTGTGTGTGTGTGTGTGTGTGTGTGTGTGTG